GGTTTAGGTTTTCGAACCCTACACCCCAAGCTGACCCTTGAAGTCCTGAATCCTTAAACCCTGGACCCGTCCGCTGTCCAAGGCAAAACTTGCCTGAGCAGCCACTGTGATACTTTATGTTGTCCTTATCAAGCCTGCAAGGATCTTGCTCCAGAAGTTTAAAGTCAAGCTCGAAGTGCCATGCTAGTTAGTATCTAGGCAGTTCTCTAAATTAGCGTTCCTTTTTAAATCCCCAATGTCGTACGGCCTTATAAAAAGGACGCTAATTTGGGGAACTACCCATCTTGCTCCAGGCCCGGATGGACCTTCGGGATTCTGCCTGGGTGGCATGGGGATCGCTGCACAATGTGGGTAGTTCTCTAACTTAGGGCCCCTGTTTTAGGTCCTCAAAATACTACGGCCCCCTTGATAAAAAAGCACCCTAGTCGAGATCCCAATTCAGAGAAGCGCCCATGTGGTATCTTCTACAGTTCGACGAGTTTGATGGTTCCATCTGTCAGATCCGGTCGGGGGGCATGCAAGAAGTAGAAATTTCAGCAACCGCTGCGCCTACACCCCGACATCTGAGTCGTTGTCGTCGTTGGCTTTTTCGTCATCGTGGTCGTAGCACTTATAGAAGAAATGCAAGTAGAAAAATAGCATGCGCAAAGAGGAGGAGAACAAGCAACAGCAACAACGACGGCAACTTGGCCACAGCAATGGAGCCAGGAGTTGCAACGGCAACGGCAGCAGCACTTGCAGTGTCATGATGAAGATCTACCCTAAGCCCTAAACCCCCGAACCCTAAACCCTAAACCCCTAAACCCGAAACCCTGAACCCCTAAACCCTAAACCCGAACCCTGAACCCTAAACCCCTAAACCCGAAACCCTGAACCCCTAAATCTAAACCCCTCAACCCTAAACCCCTAACCCCTAAACCCTAAAATGCCATTGTTAAACTGTGCGAAGCAGTTGGACTGGACCGGAGGGTCTCTTTGAAAAGCATGCTGTTGAGCATGCCAGCGAATGCAGACTCTTTTGGGGGGCCCTTCTGGTTCTGGGTTTAGGGTCTAGGGGTTTAGGGTTTAAGGTTTAGGGGTTTCAGGTTCTGGGTTTGTTTTGCGGGCTATAGCAAACCCTAAAAAGTTGGAAACCAGAATAAGGACAACTAGTGCTGGGATGCCTTGTGCCGTGCTCTTAAGGATTGAGGCTGTTGGGTTTCCAACTTTTGCGCTTCTACAGTACTATAACTGGTTTGCACGTAGAGGAACCAGGGTCCAAGCTTGAGGGGAAGCTTCATCTGACGGCTTCTTAGCTAGCAGCTAAGCACAATGCAGTTATTTGTGCGGCAGGACACAGACCTCTTCGTGGCCAAGCTGAATCCTGTGACGCAGGCCTGACAAATGGCAGTTGAACAGCATGGATACAAGGACCATAGCCGTACAGCTCGCAATAGCACAGTAGTAGCAGCCGTCCTGCGCTAATTGCGAGGGTAGCTACGAACCCACGCTTTGAACTCTCATATACTTCCTGACAATACCGTGTTCACAGCGGTTCTTTTGGTTTCTACCGGAGTTTAACTGTAGAACTACGCTATACCTTGCCAGGAATATTCCTCACCCACGAAATCCGTCGGAGGCTGTGAGAACACATGACTGACTTCCCAATAAGTATTTTGGGTTTAGGGTTTAGGTTCAGGACTTCGGGTTTAGGGATGTTTCGGGTTTATGAACCACAATATATATATATATATATATGTATATATATATATACATACATACACATATCGAGCGACCTTGACTGATATGTGGGGTCACTCTGTATGAGAAGGATTTCGTTACTTCGAGACGTGTTCGGCTCCCTGGCCGCTTGTCTGTCTGGGGAGAAGCTCGATGGCAGGTATCAGAGATTTAGGAGAAACATTGATGGCCTCCTCTGATTCATGCTAAGCTCTGAAACCTAAGCTCTGAATCCACAGGCCTAAGCTCGAAATGCCTATACTAACACCCTGTTACGACCCGTATTGGTCACTTTGCTGCTCCATTTCCATGCAACAGACGGATCTGATGCATGCAGAAGGCCAGGTGTAGAGATCCATGCCTTTGCTTCGGAGCCGTTTGCTCCGAGCCCTTGCGGCCGAGCTCAGGCCGCCACCTCTCTGGTGGAGGCAGGGCCGGCGGAGGACGGTACACCGCAGCTACGCGGAGGTGGAGCTGTTGTCCCGCCTGGCGGAGATTTTATTGCCACGGGAACCTATTGGCGAGCTCTTCCGGGATTTCCCGACAAAGAAATCGGAGGTGTGGAGCAAGCGCTGGCTTTGCCCGGACATCTCTGCATTTGGCGTGCTGAGGGAGCAAGAGGCAGCTTTATTCGTCGAATACGACGGGTGCTTTCGTCATTCTGAGCCGCAGGGGCAACAGAGGGACGAGCGCAAGACGGCAGCGCTGCTTCACCATGCACCCCCTGGCTCACGTGTCCTGCGGATCGGTCACGTGCATCAGGACTTGAGCATGGCGGAAAATGCTACACACGCCATCGTCGATGTGTGGCGAGCAGGGCACGAGCCGTCGTTGATGAAAGTTGTACAGCAAACCGTGCGGGCCCTTCTCCACAGGTTTGGGCTTCTTCTCCAACAGGATGTGCGCGAGCGTCTCAGCAGCTGTGCTGTCGCGGAACCAAGGCAAGATTTTCTCAAAGCAAGCACATTTGCCTGTGAGGCACTGTTATGCAGGGACGTTGAGAATAAGAGGATCAACATCTACGAGTTTTTGGAAGGGCAACTACAGTTTACAAAGACCGGAATTGAGACTTTGGCATGCAAGTTTCCAAAGATCTGGGGTATCAACATTGAACACAGTCTGAAACCCACCGTGGCATGGCTGCAGGATGTTGGGCTGAGCCGACAGCAGGTGGCCAAAGTGTTGGCTCGTCATCCTCAAGTGTTGGGCTGCAGCATTGATGCCAATCTGAAACCCACCGTGGCATGGCTGCAGGATCTTGGGCTGAGCCGACATCAGGTGGCCAAAGTGTTGGCTCGTCTTCCTCAAGTGTTGAGCTGCAGCGTGGATGCCAATCTGAAGCCCACTGTGGCATGGCTGGAGGAAGTTGGGCTGAGCCGACAGCAGGTGGCCAAAGTGTTGGCTCGTCTTCCTCAAGTGTTGAGCTACAGCATCGATGCCAATCTGAAACCCACCGTGGCATGGCTGGAGGATATTGGGCTGAGCCGCCAGCAGGTAGCCAAAGTTGTTGCGCACTTTCCTCAAATTTTGGGCTGCAGCGTCGAGCACAATCTGTTGCCAAAACACGTTCTTCTGCAGCGGTCGTTCTCATCAGAACAGATTTGCTCCATGATCGAGTACCTTCCACCATTGCTTGGCCTGAGCGCTAGTCGCCTGCGTCATCGTTTGAAGATCTTGGAGCAGCACGACCGCTTGAGCGAACTTGCAAAGGTGATGGCTCTGACTGATGCGAAGTTTGCCCGACGATTCCCTTCATTGAGCAGCGACGTGAAGTGCACACTGGGCAGCAGGGTTTCCGGGCAGCTGGAAAATCCTACCTTACAAGACTCTAGCTTAGAGATTATCCTTCTGGGCCCCAATCCAAAAGCCATAAACCACAACAGCCCGAACCACAAAAACCCGAAAATCCTAAAGCCCCGAAGCCCTAAACTTTGAAGCCCCAAGACCCTATGGTTCTATAGCCCAAAGCCGCCCTAAGCCCCCGGGCGAGGACGGCGACCTCGAGCTCATCTTCTCACGTGGGGGCTCCCGGGAATCGGGGACTCTGCTGCCTTTTTTTTTTCAAAGGATCAGCTTTTATAAAGTTTGAAGGTTTGGGGTTGTCTGAGTGAAACCATTTCCCCCTCGCCCCGAATTAGGTTTTATGTGGATTTAGGTGGTGGGCCGTGGTGGGGTTCTCGCAGCCCCACTTCAAAAGAAAGCCAGCAAACTCCGAAGCCCAGGATCCGTGGCCGCCCGCGCCTAATACGAAAACGTCGTAAGCCACGAGCTCCATGCGGTGAAGACCTAAAGCTAGTACAGACTTGAACCATGAGTCTGAAAGACCGCAATTAACTTCAAATTTGAGCCGTTTTTTTTCGAGATTCTGCTCTGAAGCCTAGTCTTCGGGGATGTACTGTTGAGGGCTTAGGGTTGAAGGGTTTAGGCTTTAGGGATCTTCAGGGTACAGGGTTGAGGGCTCAGGGTGTAAGGCTGAGGTCAAGGCACACCCTCTGTGACAGGCTTCGGCCCGATCAAGAGTTGCGAGATTGTGCGCGACTGGAAGTGCTGTCCCGAGTTTGTCAATTGTGGAGGGCGGTCTTGGGTTTCGCATTGAAGGCTTTGGGCTCTGCGATAGCCACTGCCATCGCCGTAGCCGTAGCCACAGCCAATGCCATTGCACGTCTGTGCTGAGAAGGTCATGTACCCTTGAATAGAGAAACCCTTGCAGGAGCTGATGATTCTTTATGTAAGTTTTCTCGTATCTTCTCACAAAAAGACTATGGCTTCCCTTGTATTTTATACATATGTTTGAACTTACCCCTCTATATAAAATCCAACTCGGAAGCTCGGGGGGCCCCGAAGCCCATCTTTTTAAACCATAAAATATCGAATCTAACTATAATTTATGCCATGGGTGATTATTAAGGCGAGGGGATGTCGACGGCGACGGCGACCAAAACGGCGGTGATGCCCCTGCAGCCCTAAAGCATCCTACAGCTCAGCGTCCCGAAGCCGTGAACACCCCTCAAAGAACAGCGTGGCATCCCCAAAGGACTGGCGACTCACTGCAGTATGCCTTCATCATCTTTGAGAACCCTCGGGATTGCGAGCAGGTGTGGGAGCTGCTGTTGCTGCTTGAGGATCTGACACCTGAGCTTGACAGCCGAAAGTACTGAAATCTTCAGCCCCAAGCCTAATCCCATCCTGTGGCTTCACGTCTTTGCGTCCTTCTCGTAGTGCTTCCGTCTGCGAGATCGATGTCGCTGTGCAGTCTTTGCATGTTCTTCGTGCAGGCTTACTTCAAAATGCACGACTGCGTCATCGACGATAGGCCGATGGGTTTTGCGAGAAGTTTTGGTAGGAGTTGTAAGGTCCCTAAGGGTCCTGCAAGTTTTCTACAACGTTTTTGTAGGGGTGCTGTAAGGGTCCTGTGCGGGCGCTGCTCTATGCCTGGGGCTTTAGAGCAACCGGTCATCATCATCATCGTCACCGTCATCATCATCATCATCATCATTATCATCGGCTCAGCGTCGTCACAGGCGTCGCAACTTGCGTCGTCCTCGCCACCGTCATCGACAGAATCTCTTCCCCCGTCATTATCATCATCATCATCACCACCACCACCACCACCACCACCACCACCACCACCACCATCACCGCCGCCCTCACTATCATCATCATCATCATCATCATCATCACCATCACCATCATCATCATCATTATCATCATGCGGCAACCGCGACAACTGGAGCAAGGCTTGCAAGAGTATGTGTACCACGAGTCGTCGAAGAAAGCGAGACAACAATGAGTCGACGAGAGCAGGCAAGGCAGCAACGGAAAAGAACGCCGCAGTTCCGTTGCCATTTGCAACAGAGAGTTTTGCAATGCCGAAGCCGAAATGTCACCCCGTACACTCCAGTAGAACAGCACAAAAATCTTAAAAACAAATACAGAAACATTAGACTTCTACAGTGCTTTAGTGCATGTCTGTTCACTTTGGAAAAACTAGACAGAACTCCCTCACCTAAAGCCTAACAGAATTTCTGCATCCCTGTACTGGAGTGTACTATGACACCTCATCTTGAAGGCGCATCTTCGTCAACTTCTCGCAGTCCGTAGCAAAGCTCTGGAACAAGTGGCGGACGGGCTCGCGAATGACCAAGGACGGCAATGAAAACCCTCAGCAGCAAACCCTCAAGCCCTGAACCGCGTCCCGCGGTGTGTCCGAGGTGTTCATGGTCATAAGCAGGCTAGAAGCAAGGCAGCCCCACTTGACAAGGTACTTCTAAGCCCGAGTCTAAGCTGTCGCCGAAGCATCCGGATCCGTCAAGTAGAGCCTGTGCACCCTACGTGATGACCTCGAAGTCTTCTCCTTTGGGCAGCTGCTGTTCCCGTGAAAGCCCATGAAAGATCAGGAATTACTCTGGTCCATGAACCGAGCACTTTCAACAAAACCGGACCCCGGAACCATCGAAGTCAACCCAGTCGATCGAAAAATGCACAGGGCAGCACATCCCAAAGCCTCAAGTGGAATTAGTAACATCCACTTATAGTCCTTTTGAGACTTTACTACACTGCACCCCCCAAATGTCCATTCTGATTCAGTTCGCCGTGCCCCGGCCATCGTGAGGAGGATGTGAAGGGAGGTGCCGAACAGAAGGGCGGAGGCACTGGGGGTTAATATAGGGGCCATAATAATTAGAATAGGGTTTTGGGGCTCATTCTGGTATAATTCTAATAAGTAACCCCCAAAACAGGAAGGTAAATATTTAGGCCCTTACATTATTCGGGTTTAGGGTTTTAGGAGTTTTGGGGTTTTTGGGTGTCTAAAGGGGCTTCGGAAGGTTGTGCTCTCATTTGCGGGGTTTAGGATGTGTAGGTTTGGGCTTCGGGGTTTTTGTAGGGCTGAGGGTGCTGCCTGACATTCTCTTAGTCCTCTGGGAAATCAGCAATAGGGCTTGGGCTTCAGGCGGGTGAAGGGGTTTTGTGAATTTCAAGGGGTTTGTGGGTTTATGTGGGGTTTTACGGTTTAGGGTTTTGAGAGCTTGCGCGCATATGTAAAAGCTGAGGGCTTTCGGACAACCCACAACCTAATGTAGGGGGAATAGGGTTTGGGGGTATATTCTACCATAATTATAATAAGGAACCCCCAAAGCCCTATTCCAAGTATTAAGGCCCCTACATTAGCGATTTAGGGTCTGGCGTTTCGGATTCTAGTTCTCTGAGCCGAAGCCGAACGCTGAGCCAGTTTCTCCGAAGCCCCCAGCCTGGTCCGTTTGAGGGTTGAGACAGTGGAGCTTCCTTGCTACCCTGAACCCCAAACCCTAAAGCACCAAACCCTACACTTTAAGCCCTAAGCCCTAAGCCCTCAGCCCTCAACCCTCGAACCCTGCATCGTGAAAGCCTCGCCAGGCCGAGGCAAGGGCAAAGGCAAAGGGAAAGGCAAAGACAAGAGCAATGACCAGGCGGGAGCTGTGCTGCTTTTGAGAGAAAAACTCCTTTTGCTTCAGAAATCCCCGGACTCCAAGCACTATCCTGCTACTGCTGCTGCTGCTATTACCGCAGCAACATTTGTTGCTGCGGCATTGGTGCAATCAGTTACGTGTCTTCTGCTTCTCCTTAGCAACCTCGGCACTCTTGTCACCCCCTTGTGACGCTGCCGCCAGCATTGCCATGACGACACCAGCTTTCAACATGCTACAGCCTTCTGATGATTCTCGTCATGATTGCTATCCTTGCTCAATCGCAACAGCAGCGTTGGTGCTGGTAGGAGGAGGAGGAGGGGGAGCAGGAGGGGCAGCAGAGGAGGAGGAGGAGGAGGAGGAGGAGGAGGAGGAGGAGGAGAAGGAGTCAACAGAATCAACAATGGTGGTGGTAGCCGCAGAAATAGAGTAGTGGGTAAGGTTTCTCTGCTGGGTGGTCTGGTCAGTAGTCATTTCAACACTCGGCAGCAGCAGGAAAGCAAGTCTAGGAATCTGAACATCTGTCATCATCACAGTCATGGCGGTAAATGCCAAAGCTGGAGCAGCAGGAAGAGGAGTTCTGTGAGTGAAAGCCTCGTTGATGCAACTAGGACCCCCCGAAAGCACATCAGCAAAATTTGGCTAGAAATATCACATATACATTGTACATGCAATCGGCTAGGGACATCCGAGTACCCGTGGCTTCGACGATCATTTCTTTCCTTTGCTTTCTACTGGGCCGAAGGAGCGGACGATACCCTTTGCACTGAATCGCATAGCCCAGCTCCTGACCCCGAGCCAAACCCTAAACCCTAAACCCTAA